ACTACAGAGTGTCTTGTGGGCCCAGAGCCCACTTGGTGAGGACAGAAGGAAGCACAACTGATTCTTGTCCTTTTCATCAAGGGAAGTGGGTGCTATTTGTTTCATAGGGATTCATTTATCAAAATCCTAGTAAGCCAGTTACCAGCTTGAAAATCTGCTCTTCCATGCACCACTTTTCTTGTATCACACTTAGCTTGTGTTTTTAGCATCTCAACCACAGCCTCCTGATCTGAGAATGCACTTTGCCTGCAGGTTTAATGGTTTTCACATCTTAGAACCTTTTGAAATATGCAAGACAGCCAGGACTAGCCAAGAATGGCTTAATACTTTGCTCACCACAAAAGTCTTTGCCTTTCTGCCTCAATAACAAAGCTGCCTCCTACCTCTTTAGCTTACCTGAAGAGCCTAAAATTTTTAATTAGGTAAAATATACTGTACCTTTTTATTGTTTGTTTGTTTGTTTTTTGTTTTTCTTCTGGTACCAGGAATCGAACTCACGACCTTGTACTTGCCAGGCAGATGTTTTGCCACTGAGCTAAATCCCCAGCCCCTGTACTTTTTTATTATAAAACACACTATACCTGTTTCTTTAAAACCAGACAGCATCCCATGAATCCCCAGATTTAGCTGCTTTTGTATCTTTTCCATAATTTTATTGCACAACATCAATGTCAGTTTAGTGCTTTCTGAAGGAGCCTCTCGTATAGAAGTGAACTTCGTCTTGCTTTTCCTCCATGTTCCACACCGCTGATTCACTACCATGAACTCCTGCCAGCAGCGCTCCCTGAAGGAACCTATCCAGCACATGCACTTTCTCCATATGTCTTGCCACAGCTCCTTGCACTTAGCATACTAGCCAGCACTTCAGATCATGCTTGAGGGCCAGGTTAGACAGTGAAGTCGCTAACAGAACAGAAATGAAAAAAGACAGCGCTGGATTGGGCACAGAAAGGACATTTGTTTACAGAGCAAGAATTTATGCTAAGCAACTCAAGCTTTTTGCAGCTCCACACAGATTTGCAAGTAGCCATGAAAGCGCTGCAAGGATTGGCTTTTGACTGTTGAGTTTGGGGTTCTTGCATGGTCCTGGGGAGTCTTGAAACCTATCTGGTGCCCAGTTTATCCTGGCAGCACTCTTACAAGATAGACAGTAGCAGCAGGCTGGTGGCATGAGCCATACACAGTAGGGGTGCGATGACTGCCTGACCAGTAGGCAGGGTCTCATGTAGGTCTCATTTAGAGACCATTCTCACAGTCGGTTTCCTATATAAAGGAAATTTAAGCTCCTCTTCCAAGGGTGAGTGTTGCTATAAGGTTATGAGAGTTTTATCTGTCTGGAGGTGGTATTGTTGCCTGGAAACCCCAGGGCCAGGGCCAGGTTTGGAAATCTTTGGGCCAGGATTCATCACACTAAGTGACATAGTGTTGGCCCCAAACATTATGAATGTGGGCCTTACAAACATTATGAATATTATAGCCTCAGTATGTCTCATCGAGTATACTACGTGAGGTTACCAAAAGATTGAGTGGGTGGGCAGTTTTAGGAGTACAGAAGCCACAAATAATGGTGACCGACTTTATTTGCATATCATTTATCTGAAAAAGGGTGTATCCAGAACATACAAAGAAGTCTTACAAATCCAATACAATACACAGCCTCATTTTTTAAAAACTGGATACAAGATGTGGACAGACACTTTACCAAAGATAATATACGTATGTCAAATAAAACATTCAAAATTATGGAAATGCAAATTAAAACCATAGTACTATAACATAGCAGTGCCTAGTCAGTGAAATGACCGTATATTAGACTGTTAAGATCAGGTATTGTCAAAACTGTGGAACCACTGGAACACACATTCCTGGCTGGTAAGAATGTAAATAGTGCAGCCACTCTGGAAAAGGGCTTTTCAATTTCTTACAAAGCTGAATTATCCCTGTCGTGTAACTCAGAAACCCCTCTCGGTAATTACCCAGGAGAAGTGAACACAGTAACCACACAATGGCTTGTGCACCAATGTTCGGGGCAGTATTACTCAAGTGCTCTTCAGCAAATGCATAGAAGTTCTATCTCCCTGTAACACTGCGGAGCAAACTATTGATGAATACAATAACGTGATGCACACGCAGTCTGCAAAGCATTTTGCTAAATGACAGCAGCCAGACACAAATACTTCAGCACTGTCTGGTCCTGTTTCATGAAGTTTTATAAAGATGAAAACTAAAATGACTGAAAATAGATCAGTGGTTTCTAGAAGCCAGGAATTGGATATGGAGAATGAATGTCTCCCCCGCATTTTTTTATGTATTTGTCAAATACCAAAAATTATACAGGTAAATATAATCTCAAGCAAGACAACTTAAAAATGAAACAATACCTTGAGATAATGGAGTTAAAATCAAAAACAGAACAAAACCAAACCAAAAAGTGGTAAATCTATAAATGCTGATAGGTTTACAGGAAACAAACTAACAGCCACAAAACATTGTAAAGTGGAAAGCAGATGGGCGAGTGCTAACTGACGTAACATAGTAGGAAGCTGTGAGACAGCTTGACAAGCCACTACATTTTGGGTCGAAAGTATTTCTGAAAGGCCTGTATGTTAAAACCTTGTTCCCCGGTCTGGTGCACCGTTGGGAGGTGGGGGAACCTTTAAGAGGTAGAGCATTATTACAGGAAGTTAGGTCACTGGAGATGTGTCCTTAAAAGAAGTACTGGGACTCCACTCCTTCCTTTCTCTCTTTCTCTCTCTTTCTCTCTCTCTCTCTCTTTCTCACTCTTTCTCTCTCTCTCTCCTCTCTCTCTCTCTGTTTCTCTCTCTCTCTCTCTGTCTCTCTCTCTGTATCTCTGCTTCCCAGTAGCCATGAGGTAAGCAATTATGCCCCACAAAACATTCCTTGCTACAGGACCGAAGGCAATGGAGGCAGCTGACAATAGACTAAAACCTCTGAAACCATATGCTAAAATAAACCTTTTCTTCTTTTATGTTGATTGTCCCAAGTGTGTTTTACAGTAATGGAAAGCCAACCAACACATTCATGTTATAGGAGGATTCAAATACTGGCTGATCCAGCATCTCTTATGGAGTGTAAATGGGGCTTAAAGTGGGAAAATTGTTCAAAGTCTATTTGAAAAGCAGTCAGACTTCCAGATGTAGGGTTACTACATAATATAGGAAGCCCAGTTAATCTGAATTTCAGGTAATCAGTGTTTTTAATATAAGTATGTCTCAAATCTTTCACGAGGAACACGTGTTTCAAAATGAATTGTTGTTTGGGTCAGAGATGTAGCTCAGTGAGCAAGTGCTTGCTTAGCATGGGCAAGAGCCTAGGCTCTACTGCCAGCAACAAAAACAGAAAAAAATTACTTGTTGTGTATCTGAAATTTAAATTTAACAGCTCATCCTATATGCCTAGATTTTTATTTGCTAAAGCTGTCAACATTTATTCAGAAGTCCTCCTGACTTTGCCAGAAGATGGGCAGTATTTTTTGGAGAATAAAACAATATCAGACAAACACAGCTGCAGGTAGAAAGGCCAGATGAGAAACGGGCAGAGAGATTATGTAACTGATGTCAAGTCCCTTGGTGTCTTCCCAGGTCTGATATTCAGGCCTGCTTTCTCTAGATGCAAGTTTGGAAGACTTTTTCCCTGCACAAAATGGTCATCTCAATACAAAAGACATAAAAATACCGACCTTGGGAGCTGTCTAGTGAAATCACCCTGCTGGGCCACCCAACAGTGAGGCCCCTGTGATGGACCGTGGCTCAGTATGCCCACAGAACAGTCGGTCAGCCTTATAGGAACAGGTACCAAGAAGCGTCTGACAAGGGGAGTGCCTAACATGCAAAGAGATGCAGGTAAAGGAGAAGGCAATGGAAGGAGAAAAAAAAAATACTTTCATATCTTCATACAATTGAGAAGATAACTGAGCACATGAAGAAAGAATTGCATGTGATAGAAATGGAACTAAGGTTACAACAGAGCTCCTGGAAGCTAAACACATGATTTAAAGAAAAATTAAAATACAGCATTTGGATTTCAAGATAAACTTGAAGAAATTTCTCAAAAAGTGCAGCAAAAAAAGACAAAGAGAAAAAGCGGGCATAAAAGATAAAATGAATGGCCTGATAGGAAGGTCAGTCTCCCACGGGAAGGGTGTGGGGGGTTGTGAGAAAAACGGATGGGAGGGGCTCGAACTGGGTGACCAGATACCCAGATGGAAGTCTGGATTCTGCGAGGGAGGACAAGAATGCACGGTGGGTGTCACTGGCCATCTCAGCACTATGATAAAAGCAGAGGGGCTGGGAATGTAGCCCAGCGGTAGAAGGCTTGCCCACCATAGGTGGGACCCTGGGTTCAATGCCCAGCACAGCCAAGAAAGAACAGCACCTGTTAGGAAAGTTGGTCTGGGAATGGCGTTTCAGTGCGCTGGGGAAGAAGGGCTTAGTTCACTGTGACAGCGCTCGCTGAGTGAGGACCACCGAGCCTGCGAGTATAATCAGGGGGTGAGGTAACGTGGAGACAAGCGAAGGGGTAAGATGTGGGCTGAGAGGCAGCCATAAAAATGGGAAGGCTGGGAGCAGCTGAGGGGAAATTGGAAAACCAAATGAAGCTTTTTGGTGAATGCAGGAAGTAAGATTTGGAACTCTTCTGGCCTGGCAGACAGCAGAGTTACAGCACTGCTGCTAAGCGTGAAGCAGGGACCTGCTGGAAGTAAAGACAATAAGCTCAGTCATGGATGTTTCGAGTCCACTGAGAAGGGGAAAAGAGGTCTGGAAGTGAGCAAGGCACTCTTCAAACATGTAAAATGGACCAGTAAAGTAGTCTCAGATGAGCGCTGATTATCTCAAAGCAAAGAACAGTTTCTGGTTGGCTTTGTTTTGCTTTTTTTTTTTTTTGAGTCAGGGTCTCCTTATGCAGTTCAATTTTGCCTTGAGCTCACTTTGTAACCCAGGCTGGTCTCGAACTCAAAATGATCCTCCTGCCTCAGCCTCCCGAATACTGGAATTACAGGCCTGGCCTCAAGTTACTTTTTAATGGATAAAAAAATTACCTCTGAGCAAATGCAATATATTAATATAGATTTGAACCCTATCAGACAGATAAAAGACAATTAACATATGAAGCAGACCTAATGCCTTGCAAGTTCAGGAAGGAAAAGCTACACAGCAAATTTGTCTGAGCTGAGACTCAATAAATATGTTCCACTTTACTGGCTGCAGGGTTTAGAGTATGTAGGGTGATTCCAAAGCCAAGACCCTTCCTGGAGAATAGACACTGTAGCTCTTGCTGCTTTGAGGGCCTGTTCTGATTGTTTTGTATTCATGGAGGGAAGGGAGTATGACTCAGTAACGTGTGTGTATGGAGTTACACATGAACCCCAAAAGTGAGATCCATTTATCTGCATCATCTCAGATGACCCTCCAGCTCAGCCAGTGGTAAAGGAGTCCAGAATTCCAGGCTTGAGACTTTGGAATCCCAGGTGTCTTAACAGGTGCAACCCTGCAGTGGATAGAAGTCTGTTCCTTTTGCCCGGTTGTTGATGTTTGGTGCTTGGCACTGTCCGAATGTTTTGGTACCCTCAGAGTCACATCTTGAATCCCTAACCCAAAGTTGTTGGTATTAAGATCGTAGTTCCCGTTGGGGAAGTGACTGCATCATGAGGCTGAGACCGTCACTAATGGAGTCAGTGCCCTTATTAAGTAGTGGGGAGAGGCTTGTTCAACCTGGAACCACGTGCAGACAAAGCAAGCAGCTCCCGCCTAAGAAACAAAGCTGCTCCAACCAGATACCAAATCTGCAGGCACCTTCTTTTGGCTTTCAGGCCTCCAGAACCACGAGAGAAAAACTTTTGTTGTTGACAAGCTGCCCAGTGTGTGCTGATTATCTATTAAAGCAGCCTGATGGGACCGAGACAGTGTCAACTGTTTTCATTTGGTGCCGTAACTTTGCAAGAGCAGACTGAGAGGACACTGTTTAGAAAGCAGCTCAGTGTATACATGGACCCTCGACAGGTGTTCTATTTAGCAGGGCCTCAGAGTTAAGAGAGACGAACAGAAGGATTATGGTAATCTATGTAACACATTACTGGCAATATGTATGCTAATTTGACGGACATGCTGGGTGAGCTTGACTTGTAGTCATCCCTGGGTAAATAAATTGCTTCACAATTTCTCCTATAAAATTTCACAAAACTAATAAACTCCAAATACAAGAAACCAAACAGGAGTGCAGGCAACTGCAAGATCTTTTCCAGGAACTGCATGAGAAGTGTGCATTTGCGATTTACTGATCCTCTTTGGAGAGCAGCCAGAAGGCAGGTAAGTTGTTTGCTAGGGTCTTGGCCGTCGTTCTCAGAAAGTGGGAATTATTACCGACCTAGAAGACAGTGGGTAGGTCTGGTCAGAATGAACAAGCCGCGGTTATTATGAGCAACACGATAAACGAACAGAAACAGCCAGATTCTCCGTGGCCCGAACTGTCCAGGCTTCCACAGTACCTCTGGTGTGTAAGGAGGCAGAAGCACTCTGCAGGCCCTTGGGGACCAGGTGGCCCAGGGCTGTTGGCACAGCGCTCAGTACCTGCTCACTGAGGACGGAGTAGTGACAAGGGAGGTGACTGCAGTTCCTGGTTGGGCACTGTGTGTGCATAGTGGAAACTTCTGACATACCTTAAGCGAAATCTCTTTCTCAACTATGTGAACTTTTTCTTGCTTTTCTACCCCTTCCCCCTTAATTTTCTTTTCATTAAAATTATTTTTACTTGACATATAATAATTGTACAAATGTGTGGCATATAATGTGATATTGCAGTACATACATACAATGGGTAATGCTCAGGTCAGGGTAACCTGAACATCCATCACCTCTACCATTCATCATTCCTCCATGTTGCTAACAGTCAAAATCCTCTCTGCTAGCTATTATGAAACATATAATTAATTGTTGTCAACCATACTTATCCTACTTCATTAAAGAGCACTAGGAATTATTCTCCCTACCGTGCTCTGGTATTTTAAAACCTACAATGGTGAGCTAAGCATAAGCTAGTATCTGCAGACCCCAAACCTTTCTCTGCTGAATACTGTGATCATTTTTCAGCAATGAGTACAGTTAATTATTTTCAGAACGCCCATCCTGTTTGGAGTTTGCACTCCTTACGTGATAGTTCTTGACATTTTCCTGTGTCCACTCTACATGTGTAGAAGGAACAGACTGTCAACTTGCCTGGGCTGAGGGACACCCAGAAAATCAGTAACACACAGTGCTAGGAGTGTGGAGGAGATGTTTCCAGAGACACTGGCACTCACACTCTCAGCAGTGTGAGTGGGGAGGGCTAGCCCTGAATGCAGACAGCACCATCCAACAGACGGGGGCCCAGGTGGGACAAAAAGGGGGGGACAGTCACACACCACGCCATCAGCCGTTCTTAAGTGACTGCATCTTTTGTTGTTGCCGTGGCCTGAGGCCATCAGTCTCCAGATTCTTCAGGCTTTGAGTGCAGACTTGACCCAGCAACTCTCCAAGGGGCTCCCAGGCCTTCATCTTTGGGCTGGACTTGCAACACTGTAAATTCTTGTTCTGTGTTTCTAGCTTCTTAGACCCAGCAGATATTGGTTTCCTGGGCTCTCTAGCCTGCAGGGGGCCATTATGGGGCCACAGTGTTTGCACACACCTGTGATTATGCAAGCCAGTCTAATCATTATTTATACATGCTATTGGCCCTGTTGTTCTGGAGAGCTCTGACTAATACAGTAATGTTAGAGTATTGTGTCTTGCACTTTAATGTGCTGTAATCCCCAGGGAGCTTGCCTGACTCTCACTCTGAGAAGGGCCCAAGAGCCTGTTTCTAACAAATACCAGCGGATGCTCATTGGACTGCACACTGAGTAGCGAGACTATAGAGAAGAAATTTACAGGACAAAAATGTGCTGTGTTCTGCTAGAGGAAAGGCAGCCTTTTTAATAAATGGTGCTGAGAAAACTGGCTATCTACACACAGAAGATTAAATGTAGACTCTTATCTCTATGTACTAAACTGAAATCAAAATGTATCAAAGAACTAAATGTTAAACCAGAAACACTTAACCTGCTGGAAGACAAAAGAGATAAAACTCTCAAAGTCATAGCTGTAGCCAAGGGCTCTCTGAACAAAACCCCAGTTGCACAGCAAATAGTTCCAACAATCACCAAATGGAATCACAGTAAATTAAAATGCTTCTGCACAGCAAAAGAAACAACCAACAGAGTGAAAAGATAAGCTACAGAATGCAAAAAAATTGCCAGTTACTCCTCAGAAGATTTATATCTAGAATATATAAAGAACTTATGCACCAAAATAAAAGAGCCAATCAAAAAATGGGCAAGTGAAATGCACAAAAATTCACAGAAGTAAAAAATGATCAATAATACATGAAGAAATATTCAACATCACTGGCCATTCATGAAATACAAATTTAAACAATACCGAGATTCCACCTTACTCCGGGAAGAAGGGCCATCAACAAGAAATCAAGTAATAATAAATGCTGGTGCGGCTGTAGGGTAAAAGGAGCACGCTACACTGTTGGTGGGAAAGTGAACTAATACAATCACTTTGGAAATCAGCATGGAGATTCCTCAAAAAATTAAAGTTAGAAATTCCCTTTGACCCAGAAATCCCCCTTCTCGGCATCTTCCCCAAAGAGTTAAAGACGTCATAGTCATATCACAGTGATACACGCACACCCCCGTTTATAGCTGCACAATTCATAACCCCTGTATCTTGGAAGCAGCCTACACATCCAGTAAAAATGAAAGGGAAAAAAGATAGATAATAGGAAGCAGGAGACAGAGCTTTTTCAAAGGGGAAGGGGACCGAGAGACGGAGGGAGGGGAAAAGGGATACTGGATGAAAACAAGGAATTGGGATGTGCTGTGAACGTGTGCCAGCTCCACAGGGAGTGCAAATATCATGTACTGGTAAATGGTGGCTTTAAAAGTGTATTGTGCTCACAGGGAGGGCACTAAAATTTCAACCAACGGGAAGTTCTTTCAACCAATGAGAAGAGATGGTTTTGTAACAATGAAGACACCACGATGAGAGCGGTGTCACAGGCAGCCCAGGAGCCCGCTGCAGGACGAGCTGGCTCTTCTCATCAGGCAGGCTGTGCTGTCCAAGGGAGAGTCTTCGCGGGCAGCGCCGTGCCCTCTCTTTGTAGGGGAAATATCAGCCACGCTGGGGGGCACCATCAAGATAATCGCTAGGGTCGGGTGGTGTTACAGCTGGAAAGGGAAGGGGGTGACTCCGCTCCTTTGTTTCTAGCTGTACCAATTCTAACTCGACATTAGAAAGAAGTAATTAAGCGTATGTTCAGAAATAGACAATAATTATTAAACCAGTGAAGGTGGAGAAAGTGAACAAAGAAATTTGTAGCTCAGTCCACAGGAAATCAGAGAAAGGGGAAGCCAAGGGGAGGCATTATACAAAAAAAAGAACAAAATGAGATCGGAAACACAGGTCTAACCTTGAGTGGTGATTGTAAACGTAAACAGGATACATGGGGAAAGACTGCTAAGTCTTAGGCAGATGAAAATATTTGTGTAGTATTAAAACTGCATAGAAAACAATTCCCTCATTTTCTTCATCTATATGGAACATCAGTAGAAGGGCATCACTAAACTCTTGGTACTTACCAACTGCCATGTAAGGAAGGGTCATTGGAAATTCTTGTAATGACCAGAGGAGATTCTTACCTTAAGGTATCTTCCCCTTTTTTTGGGTACCAGCATCAAATCCATGGCCTTGAGCTAACTGGGTAGGTGCAGCACCGCTGAACGAAATTTCTTAAATAAAATACAAACAGTGAAATAAGCATGACTCAGTATTAGAGTTATTAATTCTGAATGGTATAAGTACGAGTTAGTCAAATTAATCCTTTACATCTCCTTATTTTTAACTTTTCCCAAAATATTATTTAATAGGAGGAAAAAAAGGGAGGGGGTGAGCAAGTGGCTTGCTGTCACAGTTGACTTGCCCTTGCCAGCCTTGGAGAAATCATGTCCTTCCGAGGACAAGTTGGGGCTGCGGAGACAGGAGTGGTGGTCAAGTCAAGGTCTTGGCGAGCTTTAGCAGAGGGACAGAGTGCATCAGCGTCCCTGTCCAGGGAAGATCATAGCCCCTTACATCTGACAGATGTACTCTCAACTTCTCAAAGGAAATTCAATATTTGAAACTTTTCCCTCCAGCTTTTATAAATAGAAGTCAATATTAACCGAAGAGCGAGGAACCCTTTCCAACAGGCTATAAGTTCCTATCGATTATTTTTATTTCATGTCTTGCAATTCCTTGCTGACTCTTTCTCCGGCTCCTGGTGCTCAATTTGCTACCTCTCACAAGTAACGGCCTTTTTGTTACTTACAGAAAGAAAGCTAAGTGCTGGGCTTGAGCAGCCAGCTGGGCTCGGGGAGGCGAAGCACTGAAATCTTTCCCAGTGGACGTTCTGAGGTTCCTACTCCATTCCTTCCTGGCTCAGAACTGTCATTAGATTTCTTTTTCATTTGTTGCTTGGTCTTAGCACTGATTATAAAGTATAACTTATTTCAGATGCTGCATGAGTTTTACAGATGGACTTGTACCCAGGGTGTGTGGTATTGTATTAGCAATGGAAAACAGACAAATACAGGAGGTAACACACACGTGCCTGAGTTCCCTGTATATGTGTCCTCCCATAGCTTTTAGCTCTCGGATGTATGCACACTTAGCAGTTTCTATCTCCCTGTTCAGGTTCTCACACAACTCCCCGCTCCCTTTTTTTTTTTTTTCAAGAGAGGCAGTGGTTTGCCCCATCATCTCACCTTTCCTGTGGATCTAAGACGCATTACTGATTTTTCAATGTCTTCACTGTTTTACTTGTTGAGGTGGAGTGGAAACTTCCATGCTCTTTACATACAGAACCAGAAGCCAGACACCCCTGGCCCTGTGTTGTCAGGGATCCTTATTTGGTTGTGGATGGAGGTTGCTGCTATCACGATGAGGGAGAAGGTCATATTATTCTAACGTTCTTAGACAAGCGGGGGACAGGCTACAGGTAAGAGCTTCGTTAGCTACTGGAAAGCGGCTCTGCCTCTCCAGCCCTGCAACTCAGTGCGTGCTTCACGCCGAAAGCAAACACCGCTGTTGTCCAGGGCTCAGGCCCAGCAGCAATGGAAGGAGTAGCTCTCCTCTACCTGCAGCTGGTGGTTCTGCAGTGCTTGCCCCGGGTCCTCTCCCGGCACCTGTCAGTGCTTGGTGCCCTCTATCTTACACACATTTCCCCACTCCTTTTTTTGGGTAAGTTCCCCTCTAGACACTTTCTGTACAAACGTGACCCTGTTTCTTTCCTCCTTCAGGGATTTCTTAGTTTCTAGCAAGCTGATGGCAAACTTTCTCACTTTCCAAGGCATTGATAGCTTGCTAAAATACACTTCTTTCTTTTCTTCAGCCTTTCCAAGAAATTTTGACTAACAGGGGAGGTAGCTGCCATAATAAACATGAACAAAGTTCCCTTCATGGAGTAGAAAAATTGTAGAATGTTGTAGACCCTCAGGATCACCATCATGAACAGGTTACAGAGTGGCACTCTGCGATACATCAGGTGGTACTACTAAAAGTAACAAAACTCCATGGGTGTTACACTTAATGTTCATTATCACAGTACTTAAAATTTACACAAGTTAGTTCAGAATCAGTATTACTGAGAACAAGAGCACATTCCTATGTAAACTGCTGATAATAAAATATTACATGCTACACATTATTGAGAGGAGTAAGGTAAGAAAACTCAAGAATTATATATATTTATACCCATATAAATACACCAAAACATTTTATATTCATTATTCCATATTCCTCAGCCTGAGGATGTTTCTACATAAAATATTTTTGTAATTTCTCTCTGGAGCAGATTGCAGGTGAATTTATCCACAACATACAAGAATCTCATCACTTTCATCTTGGCCACATCTCTGCCCCAAAATAAATATTTGGTATTATTCAGCTTGATCACTTGTATTACATGACAGAATTTACTGACTGTTTTCAAGAAATCAAATCCATGTCATGGGTGAAAAGGTATCGCTACTGGTAACATCTGGGAAAATTTGCTTACTGAGCCGGGCGCACAGCTGGGTTAGCAGTAAAGTATATACTTAGTATGCGCAAGGCCTGGTTTCAATCCTGAGCGGTCAAAACTAAAACAAAACAAAAATATGCTCAAGGCATTGAAGGCAGCCCCTAAGAAAGAAGTACTATATGTTTCAGAAGGCTTCAGAATATTAGAAGTTAATCTCCAGTTGGCACTTACTGAGTTATTAATATGTTGGTGATGGCTTTGTGGGGCAAATGGCTTGTTCCATCTAGATAAATGTTGGCATATGTATTTTAAAATCATAATTTTATAAAATGTGAGTGAATTCAAAGGTTCTGTGCCTCATCTCTTGGTTCTAAAGTGAAGCCAAAATGAAAACAGATGCAGAATTCAACTTCCGTGATCAGGAAATTGCCCAGCAGTGGACAAAGCATGCATCTCTAAGCACAGCCGCACTCTGCGAAGTCCAAGGGCATTCAGTGAGGGAGCTGTCAATTGTGTCACCAAGCGGCCTCTCTTGTCAGACTCCCCCTTGATTTTCTGCCAGCCCAGCAGGTGCCACAGTTTGTTGGGTTAAGCCCTGCATAAATATTCTTTCCTGAGAATGAAAAAAATGAGCTCTCAGAGAACAAGATAATAAGAAGAGAAAATAGGAATACAAAAGCAGGCTTTATGTGTAATGCCCTGGACTTCACTCCCTGGATAATATCAGGAGATATACACATTGATTATGAATCAAATATGTTGTAGCTGTGTATAACTCAGAAACTGACATTATTTAATGTCTTCATCAAGGGATTGTTAAACTCTAGCTCCAACATTATCACACAGAAATTAGGACATGTTATATATTAGTGGCTTTTCCTCATATACCAAGAGTTTAACCTTGGAGCTGTGTCCAAGTACAGAGCTGACTGATGCATCCCATTAGCCAATAAAATATTCACTGGTTTCTTCACAGAGGAGATAATGTTTGAGCTAGAAAGAATGAAGTGAAAGAATTACCATCTTAAATTTTATTGAGAGTATAAATTGATATAAACTGGGCCTTGCATAAGCTTCAGCAAGCACTCCACAACTGAGCTACAATGCAGCCCTAAACTGGTACACTTTTTTTTTTTTTTTTTTTTTTTTTTTTAGGTTTTTCTCCGGTACCGGGAACCGAACTCACGACCTTGCGCTTGCCAGGCAGGCGCTTTGCCGCTGAGCTAAATCCCCAGCCCCTAGTACACTTTTTAAGGTAGTTTGTTGATGTCTCTTAAAATTTAAATGTACACACTTGCTCATCCTCACAGTCCATGTCAAGAAATTTATATCACTGAGATATTTATGTAGGGAACCAAATATGTATCAAATCTGCAAAGATGGCTGCAACAAAAATAAAATTATGAATAATGAAATATATCTATAAATACTATCATGGAAATTTAAGATATACACAAAACAAAACTATATCATATATAGTATGATATGCTTTTGGTTAAAAAAAAGTAATTATGACATATATGTTAGTATGGCCACACAGTGCTGGGCATGGTGGCACACATCCCAGCACTCGGGGGACTGGGGCAAGAGGATAGCTATAATTTTGAGGCCACCATAGGCTATATAATGAGGTAAAGGCCAGCCTGAACCACACAGTGAGATCTTTTCTCAAATAAAAACAATAAAGATATGGCCACAGAAAAACAGTTATCTCTACAGGTTAAGATTATAGAATGTTTTCACTTTTAGATATAGAATGGTGAGATATTAATAATTGAAATAAGTGGGAGAAGATGGGGGGTAACAAAATAAAGAAATGGACTCTCAAGAGGAAAAGAGGTATCATCTAGTGCTTAAGTGAAATGGAAGCAGATGGGGGCTGTCTTGATCAGCTGTTTGTATGCCAATAGTTAATGTGGAAATTACTTTGTCCTATTCTCCCTGAGAAATGTGGTACAGTTGTCCCCCTGTGACCTCAGGCTCCACATCAGCTGATCCAATAAGTCTTAGATCCAAGACAAGGTTAGGAGCATGAAGGTTATGTTTGTACTGAACCTGTATGGGCTTTATTTCCTCACTATTATCCCTAAACAGTACAGTATAACGATTGCGTACACAGCATTTACACTGTCGTACGTAACTGAGGTCATCTTGTGATGATCTATAGTACGAGGAGGACGTGCGTAGGTTCCATGCCATACTACACCATTTTATGTTAGGGACTTGAGCACCTGCAGGTTTGGTTCCCTGGAGGTCCTGGAACCTGTTACCCGCTAATAAAGAGGGATGAGTATAATTTACAGAAATAACTACACTATTTTTTTTATAATTTAAACTTTCCATGAGTCCTGAGAAGGTCCTTCTCTGACTCCCCCGTCTTATTGGAAATCAACTCATGTGTCCATGCAAGCATGTCTGTGCAAATACTGTACAGCGCTCACTGCAAGAAGTATGTCTAGATGATGTGCATCTTTCAACTTGGCCGTGTGCAGCAGCAGTAAGCACCCAAGACGTACCGACGCTCATTTTACTGAAAACACTGAACACTATTTTTAAACACAGTAGTCTTTCTGAATACTGTATTGGTGCTTCACACACTTGTGACTGCTGCACGGAGGGGCAATTCAGTTTCACACCCTCCCTATCTCTCTCTTTACATACTGTACCTCTAACTTCACCCTACCATGTAGTTGGGACCATTTCTATAACATAGGCCATTCCCTGCTTAATGTG